AAGATATTGCTTTTAATTTTTCAACATCTCATTAAAATAAGCATGTTTCAAGGAAATCAATTTCCTAAAAAATCATTAATATTAGCAACACTATTCATAATCATTAATTAATATTTTAAAATAACTTATTTCATAATCGAAATAAATAATTTCATAAATTTTCATCTTTAACTTATTGCTATAGTAACTATCTCAATACTTAATGCACATACAGGTAAATCAAAGATCTATGACTATTCTTTCTATTAGTTCAATTTCGATAGATTTTTTTGTTTTTATCTCTATTGTAATTAAATCATTTCTAAATAAAACTGAATTCCATAGCAAATGGAACAAAGTGATGATAGTCCTTAATGACAAGAAAAATATATCTGATTATTATATCAATTAGAGCTAATTGACATATTCAAATTATACAAATAAACCAACAAATTCATTAATTAATCTTCTCTATTGAAATGGAAAAATTAAATTTGATAGGAAATTCATTTTGTGTGATTTTTCTATTTGTATCCTCAATCAATTTCTTTTTATATTTATATAAGAATATCAATTAGATTAAATAGTAGAAGGTAACATGGATTCTTTAAGTCTTATCATCTATATTTTAGGAAATATAAGAATAAAATTTTACTGAGAGGAAATTAAATTAAAAATTTGGTCATTTAGAATTTATGATTTCCTTTAATATGATTTGTTAGGTTAGAAAAAAAATAAAATAAAATTATTTATACTAAAATAATAAAAATGATATGAAATTTTATTATAGATTCAAGATTATTAAACTGAATGATTAATAATTAGACTAACAATTATATGAGATAAAATTGAAAAAGATATAATCTCTCATCAAGTTATCTCTACTATATGTGTAAATTTAAAAAGTAAAATGAAATAGTTAAATTAAGTAAATGAATTACTCCTGGTTAGTGTTTGGTATACTAAAAATTTTCTACAAACCTTTAGGATTTTGTCAGAGTAAATATTTTACATATCTTATTTATATAAATTGTAATTAATTATAAAAATGGAAACAAAACATACTGCTGTTGTAAATAAATTACGAATAAAATTTACTTACAATAATAGGGAGAACTTAATTTAATAGAATATCCATACACAGTAAAAGCTAGAAGGAAGAGTAAAATCATTTAAGGTAATAAAAATTATATGAACAATCATAATTCTTAATAATTATTTGATCTGAACTCAAAGAATCAGAAAGGCTCTAATTAATCAATTATAAAAAAGGAGATTGAATTATAAGAAAAAATAATAAGTAAGTGAATTAATTTGAAAGCGTTTTACTAAAATAAGAGGAAACCTCAATATTAGAAGTTGGCTAAATATACAGCATTTTTTAATTAGAATTCAAAGGCGAGAAATGTTTAAAATGCCATTCATACAAATTTATTGTTTACTAGAATGGCCTTTCATTCTATTTGACTGAGAATTTAATTGATCTATCGAAACTACTTGATACAAATAGATCCTCATTATAATTAAAAATTCAACAGGATATTCCTTTTGAGCGCCCATTTACTTTTTATGAACAATCTGTTAATTATTTTGATAAATCAGCTAAATTATAATCTATCTATTTCTAAAACTTCTTAATATTAATAAATTTGTTTTCTTCATAAGGTTTAAAGTTGCTATAATATTAGAATATTTACTGATTAATTATATTATTTTCATTATTCCCTATTTAAACTCGAAGATTTTAATATATTTATCACATCCAATTCTACTATTGAGCTATCTTTTCTTTTTTAAAATCACTGTAAAATATTCTTTTGTCTTAATCAATTGATTCTCTTTAATTAGTTCACAAATGTTGCTTTAATGTTTCTTTTTCTCCTGATTAATTTTTTCTTGATATTTTTGTGTAAACAATTCTAATTTAGCATAGAAATTTTTGCCTTTTTTTAGATTTATTTATTCTACTTCTCTAAATTTATAATTTACTTTATGTTTAAAGATCTAATAATATGGGGTTTCTTCTAAACAATATAACCCAGAGTAAGTACCATATAATTGAATCCATTTTTATAATATTTACCTTTAATAAATGGATTAAATTCTAAATTTTTGGAGAAAGAATATAATTGATAAATATTATATTAAATAATTTAACTTTGAAGATATGAAGATTTAAAATACTCTTCTTTATTATCCATCCATTTTTTTTGTTCTAACTTATGCTCTTAATTTAATGAAGACTTATTAATTGGTAGTGAAAATCCAATGGAAACAACCCTCATTCCTTAAATATAGGGTCAGACTCAATTAGAATTTTGGAGTTATTATGTAACATATTCTGAAGTAACTTCATTTCCTTGGATTTAATAAGAACCTGAAAAAGGTAGATGGAAATCATAGCTACTCTTTTGTATTAAAATTTAAGATGATCCTAGTGTATGGGCATTAATTTATAACACTGTAATTCATACCGTAGATGTTGATTCATTTATGAATTGATTAGAATATGATCCTGGAGATTATGAAGGAGTTTGGAAATTACATGTTATTACATTTGATTACAATATCATGTTTTATGAAGCTTATGGTACTTCAATGTATATTAATATATTTTTTTTTTAAGTGAATAAAAAATTAAAAAATTTAGATATTATCTTGGAGGATCTGGAATTGTATATTTTTTATAAATTATTTTAGATTAATCAAAGATATGAATTAGAAATATAAAGAGGAAGGCTTTCCAAACTTTTCATTAATTCCTATAAAAGATATATTTAATAAATATATTACGAAAGAATCAATTAGTTAAGAGAAAAGGAATATGAAGAAACAATAAGTTTGATTCCAGATTTGTTTAATTTTGATGGTATAATATAAAGAGAGTTTGAATTCTAATAATTTGGAAAAAATTTAGAATTTTTGGATGGGTTGAATACTTTACCTATGATGCATACAAATAAAAAAAAATATTTACTAGTCAGATTAACTCTTTTCAAAAATTACTAAGATGAAATATATGTAGGTGATGAAATAGTTAAAATCACAACAGTCCCATCATTATTGGATGCCATATACTATTTACATAAATGAATAAGTCTTAGAAAATAAAATACGTTTAAGGGAGGATGTACCTTACTTTTCAATACTATCCCAATGGCATTTCATCTAATTTGAATATGGATTAGATAAAAAAGGTTAAAGATCATAATTTAAAATAAGTTATTTTGATAATCAAGATTTAAAATCTAAATAATATTATCTTGGAAATAGTTAATATTATAGTTTATTTATAAATACAAAATTCTATGCTTATTTTGGAGGTGATTTTACGATTTATTAAAAGTTGAAAGGTTAATTAGCAGGGTTTTATTTTATATCAAATTATCCTCACGATTTAGATTTTTTAATTTGTATCAAATATTTATATTTCTAGTTTGCCATTATAGTTGTAAAACTTGCAATGGTCCTTAAATTTCAGATTGTTTATCTTGTCATGATAATAATGAACGAGTATATTTGGAAGATATTCAATAATGTGTATGCCCAATTTGATAATTTGAAAAAAATTAATAATGTTACTCTTATTCTAACCTTTATCCAACATTACAATATCTAGAAATACAGAAGGAATTTTAAATTTCTTAATGCTCATTCGAGTATTTTTATTTGCCAGCAACTTAACAATGCATTAAATCGTCATAATTAAATGAGTATTTAGCCCACAATTGAGTTTCTAAAAATTATTTTGTATATATTGTTTATTGAATCCTTTAATTTGGTATATATGTACTACAGATTTCATCACATAGTAAGTATCTATAGAGCAGGATGCATATACTTAATAAATGAGATCTACTCTTCATTATAGTAGTTAATAATATGCTATATGATCTTACATTGACAGGAATTTTCAGTTAGTATTATTGGATGAAGTTTATGATTATGTGATATTAAAAATATATCCATATAAGGATGTAAAGAATTAGATGTTTAACATTTATAAAGTGATGCATTTAGATTTTGTCAACAAAATCGATATTACAATAATTTTAGCTGTAATTTATTAGATAATGCATTTATTGAAGTTAATTAAGTTGAATAAAATGTCTTGAATGCTTAAGTGGGAATTATATATCAGATGATGGTACATCTTGCTTATAATGTCCTAAATCATGTTAAAATTGTTATGGCTTAAACAAATGCTCATCTTGTGAACCAAATTTTTGATAAAAAAATGAATAATGTGTTAGATTTGAAAATTTTGTAAAGTTTGCAAATATTGAATTGATTTTGACATTATTTAATGTCTAAGTTGTATTGACAATCTATTATATTATTAATCTTTAGATGCACAAAATTGCAAAAGAAATGAAATAGAAAATTGTTTATACACATTTGAAGAGTCTCCATCTTAATTATTTCTTAATTCTTTCGACTATAATTTTTCTCCATATTATGATATAACAAATACTCAATGTTCAAATGTAAAGACGGTTACTATTTTAATGATTACTATAAAAGTTGTTTTAAAGGTGAATTAGAAAATTGCTACTAATTTTATGAAAAATATCAATTAGTTTTTTTTGAGCAGATTTGTATATTTGGTCCATATAATATAAATACTCTTGTTTATTCATTTAGTGATTAAGGCCAGAGCATCAAATTACATTGTATTGTTGCTTAATTGACTAAGAATCTCTAAAGACTGTTGATTATACAGTAAAAGATGTCTTGTTTATGAAATTGGTTATTATGCAGAAAAATTAACAGGTTATTGTTAATTATGTCCTTTAGAATTATATTGTCTAACTTGTTATCAATAGAATAAATATGCTAAAGATAATTGGAAAAATGAGATTCGTGCCTTTTACCGAACTTACTTCAATTCATTTTAAATCGAGCATAAATATTGAATTTGGATTAAGTAAAGATAAGACTGATTATGAGATACTTTGTTCAATATTTGAATAAGGGTAAGGTAGAACAAGCTAAAAGTATTTTAAAGGTCAATTTAAAAGAAGTTTTATAAAAGTTCTTAAGGTTCTTATTTTTAAATTACATTCTAACACCCATTACCCAATACAGTGATTTTCTGCAATAATTAGTTTGATAGAATATAACCTCTAGAAGATTAAATATCTACAGAACTTCTTCGGCCTGACTTAAAATTTCATGGATAGGTATGTTAATTAAATAATTATCAAAAATTAACAAAAAAGGTCCTAGAATAATTTCTACACATTTTGTAAGGCATGAGAAAATTAATAATAAATGGGATACCATATTTGGAATATGGTGTCATGAAAGTTAATCTAAAAGGGTAATTAGGAGAGTTAGGCATACAATATATTATGCCTTGGTAGTGAAATTTTGAAAGAATCTAGAAATTTAATATTAAAACATATAAAGAAAACTTAATGAGGTCAAGAGAGTTTTTAAGAGTATGAAAGTTTTAGAATGGAATCCTAAGTGAAGTTTACTCTTTAATTTTCGCTGAAACTATTAGATAATTATATTCAATTGATATGCTATCAATATAATTACCTATCTATTCATTTATCGCTAAAAATAGATTTATTAATGACCCTCTATAAAATTAACTTTTTAATTGGCCGTAGAGATCAATTTGAGATCAAATTTTTCATCACTATTTTTAAGATTAGCTAGATAGTTTTAATTAGAAATATTCAACTTAAAATTATCTTCCTAAACCAGTTCAATATCATATGGGTGCAAGAATCGAACCCTAATCTACACTATTCTAAAAGAAAATTTTCTTCTCAAAATGATCAAAAATATAAATTTATTTATAAACCTATTTAAAGGCACATAAAATCTAATATTGGCTGAAGACAAATCAAGGAATATAGTAAATCTACCAGTCTTTTTATTCTTAACTTAAGATTAAAGTAAGGCACTAATATGCTTAAAGCAGAAAAAATTCAAAAAAATCTTATTTAGGAATCATTAGCTCTTTCAGTAGAAATTTATTTAAATCTCATTAAATTTTTCGAATTTCCCCCTTAGGAGAATAACTTGAAGCATTGTATTAAGAGGTGCGAATCTGAGTGAGAGAAGAAATCTCAAATGTAACATAATTTCAAAGTTAAGATTCATATTAATAGTTTTCATTAAAGTATTTAATCAGATGTCTTGTTTCAACCAGACCATAAGATAAGCCTTTCTATTACTTCATAATTCTATCAATCTTCTTAGTTTAATGATAATTTTTGGAAACTTCAAAATCCAGAAAACAATTATAACTATTGAATTAAAAATAATTCTCATTAAATATATAATGAGAAGACTACTTTATGATTAAGAAAATATAATAATTACTAAGATATATAGATTCATCGTAGATTCTTTTTTCTATGAAAATTCAAAATTTTTAGAATTTTGATTAAATCATAAAATTACTTTGACTTACTCGATATAAGTACAGCCAAGAGTGGGTTCAATAATTCACTGAATTTTTGTTCAATAACATTTAATAATTTATAAATTTTATTCTATAAAAACAGTATTATTACATATCTTCATAAACATTTTAAAATTTAATTTATATTTTATTGCTCTTGGTGTTAATTAAAGGAACTTGAAGTTTGTCGTCACAAGGAATATCAATAGAAATGATAAAATGTTTAATTCAGAATATTTATAAAAGTGATAATGATTCCTTCAATCCATAATTTGATTAATGTTCAATCTAACAATAATAAAGTCAATCTATCATTCTTTAGTTCCATCGCACTTTTTTTTGTAATATTCTCAATTATTAATTCATAGTAGAATATAGGATTTATTTTCATTCAATGATAAATATCCTGTTTTCGAATAAAGGTGGCTAACTATAATTTTTAAAGAATGGCTTTCCATTCTTTCTAAAACCTCTAAAAAGATTTATTTATTATTTTTATAATAAATTATAAATTATTAGTTAATACATTGTATGAAAATTAACAATTTCAACATATATATTTATAAAGTATTTAATATAATGTGGACATTTGAATTTTTAATATTAAAATCTCTTGCTATAAACTTAGATCCTTTTTTCTATAATAATTTTCGTTGAGATTTAACTCTTGATTAGCAACTAGGGCAAAGCTTACTAGTATTGAATATGTAATTTTCTCAATTTCTTCATTCTAATCCACCAAAAATATGAAGAACATAAAGACTTTGTTATTGCAAAAAAACAGTCACTCCTATAGTTTGATTTACCAGTTGCTAATTAACATCTTATCCAATAAAAGATTTATAAGCAGCATTATTTCACTTTTAATGAGCAAATGCAGGTCTGGGAGGATTAATTTGAATTCTTTAGTTTAAATAATGGGGAATGGAGAGACAAATCTACTTAGAGAGAAGTCTGGGTTTCATAATATTCAAATTATTTTTAAATGATGTAATATTAGATTAAATTAAAAAATAAGATTAGAACATATTTTAAATTATAAAAATTAGGTGGAATTTTTTTAGATATTAATAATTATATTAGCTATTGAAAAAAGAAAATTAAAATTTTTCTGTTTAAAATGATCTAAACTGATTACATGATGTCAAATTGGTTTTTGTATCAAAAATGAAAGTTTGGATTACATATTAGACAATTATAAGATTGAGTCTAAAAGCAAGACAACTATTACAGATTAATTAATATGAAAGAAAGCCTAAAATTTATAACTATGAAAAATGAGAAGAACAAGGAATTGATGTCAAATTTTTCAGCTTATTAGAATCAAATAAAAGATTTTAAATTGGATTCAAATTTTATTTTTTATTTAGAAATCAAAATATTAGCATAGGATTTAATGATGCTAAGAAATCAATAATTGAAATTCATTTGCCAAAAAGAATAAGAATTCGATTTTAAATAAATTCTTTTTACTTAAAATTTTAAATCATAAATACAATCTCCTAATAAATTTCATTAAGTAATCATCGGAGAACAGGGGTTGCCGATATATTTTCAAAATGACAGTTTATCAAAATATTAGAATTACTAGTATAAAAAAATCTAAAGATTATTTACATTTTTAAAGTGAAGAATGAAGGTATTGTTTGATAGAATTATTTAAACAAATGAAATAAACCATAGTTATTTCAGAAGAAATAGTTTAAATTGAATAATTTACTTTTTTACAATTGAAATAATTGAATTTATTAATAAT